GGACGCGAGTGGCGCGGCGCGACAAAATACTATAGAACTCATAATCTGTGATGCTGTCTACACCAGAGATATACATATCTATGGTCTACACTAGATGCGGCGCGGCACGACACGACAAATCCCCGACTGCTGCGCTGTATTCATGACGTATTGACAAATTTCAAATGATTTTAAAAGGTTGTTTTGTTGCGTCCAGTGTACTAGACAGAATTTAGCTGTTGCGGCGCAGACACAGTGTTACTCACCTATCGAGAAGAAACAAAGCAACCTCGGCGTCCGATCGCAGGCCTCCGCTCCGTGAGTTCTCTCCAGCACTGGAAAGCTGATTTGATATTTACACGGGTCCTACTTCTTGCCTTAAGCCTTCGTTTGTTCCGCAGACGTTTTCCTCTTTTGTTTTTTATCCGCCATCTCTATCTTTCTGTCGCTCAGCTCTAATGTCCGTCCTGTGCACTGAACGCTCTCTCCTCCACATCACGAGTAGACACGCCCCTTACTGCTGATTGGCTACAAGTTTGTTTTGCGATTCGGCCCGAATCAGTTTTCTAAAGCGTTTTTGAAAAATCGCTTACCCCACCTTTAAAGTTGTCCAAATTAAGTTCTTATCAATGCATACTGCTAATCAAAAATTAAGTTTGCATATATTTACGGTAGGAAAAGATATTTTCATGGAACATGATCTACTTTATATTCTAATGATTTTTGGCATAACAGAAAAATCGATCATTTTGACCCGTACAATGTATTTTTGGCTACTGCTACAAATATGCCTTCGTTTGTTCCGCAGACGTTTTCCTCTTTTGTTTTTTATCCGCCATCTCTATCTTTCTGTCGCTCAGCTCTAATGTCCGTCCTGTGCACTGAACGCTCTCTCCTCCACATCACGAGTAGACACGCCCCTTACTGCTGATTGGCTACAAGTTTGTTTTGCGATTCGGCCCGAATCAGTTTTCTAAAGCGTTTTTGAAAAATCGCTTACCCCACCTTTAAAGTTGTCCAAATTAAGTTCTTAGCAATGCATACTGCTAATCAAAAATTAAGTTTGCATATATTTACGGTAGGAAAAGATATTTTCATGGAACATGATCTACTTTATATTCTAATGATTTTTGGCATAACAGAAAAATCAATCATTTTGACCCGTACAATGTATTTTTGGCTACTGCTACAAATATACCCGTGCTACTTATGACTGCTTTTGTGCTCCAGGGTCACATATAATAAAAAATATAAATAAATGTTATATGAATAATATAATATTTTTATATAAATATTATGTAAATATAAAATAAATACAAAAGTAATACTGTACAATCTAATACAAAATTTTTTTTTTTTTTTAAATGTTTGGAGACAGAACATTTTATTTTATGTACAACGTCAGCGAGAACTGAATAACATCCAGAATACATGCATTTTTATTGGCAGATTTTAATATACATAAATGCAAGTATACGGTGATTATAAACCATTATTTCTAATTTTGAAATCAGAAGTTAAGCAATACCTAAAATCTATTTATAATCTGATATACAAGAACGCTGTTAAGTGTATTAATGCATGTAAACATTTTCATGTTTTTATTGAAATTTGTCCGTTTTTTTTTTTTTTTTTACATTTCATTGTAATTTTTTATCTTTCTTTCCTTGTCTTCACCCCCTGGTTAATGTAATATTATTGAATGTGAATGATTAAAAAAAATCAAATGTGAATGAAAAAAAAACATGTCTTTTTATTATTAATGTTGTATGCACATTAACGTAAATAACAGAGAACTGAGAAAGAAAAACAGAAAGAGCTTTACATACCAATTTACTATATATAATGAATACAATTTAATATAAATGATATATAATATTGTTATATAAATATAAAATAAATAAAAAATAATACTTCACGGTCTAATAGAAAAAGAAATAAAAATGTTTGGAGACAGAACATTTTATTTTATGTACAAGAATATTAATAATTGTATAATATACGCATTTTCTTTTTTGTTACCCATGGATATAAGCTTTATCGCTGTAAGGCTTATTAATATTTAAAAAAATCCCATTGAGGGTTTCCAAACAACGCCTGCAGGAGCTAATTAATATTCATAAACTAAGCCTTGTCATTGGGTGGTTGGCGAGCAACGTCAGCCTGCGCTTATTAATATCAATGAGCCGGACCTTCGCAATAGTAGGATTTGTAATTTCATCTCCAGCTCCAGCCATTCAGCCGCTGCCAGTGGGACGGAGGAGGAACCCGTTTCTACCGGACGCTCCCCCCGTCCTCCTCCTCTTCCTGGCTTTGTCGCTCCCCAGGCTTTTGTTGGTCTCGCTACATATGAATGATAAATGCTTTATGGACCTCCCACCGACCGAAAAGAGGCCTCATATTCACATACAGCACCAGAAATCACTTATTATGCGTCAAATGATAATAAAAGCACCAGCTGCAGTGAGTTTCCCCGCCTCTATCCCGGGACAGATTGAGGATTTGGGGCCCTTTGTCTTATTTAATGAATGCAGAAATGCTATACACAAAACAAAGGAGACAAGAATAATAATAGGCTACTACTAAGACTCAAACTTTCCCTCTGAACAATAGCCTCTAGTCTATCAAAGTCACAAACTTGGGGAATCATTTTTATAAACTTATTCCATGTATCTTTTGATTAGACGACATAGAGTGCATAGTTTATAAGGACTTCACATATAAGGTTGCAGGATGCCTCCCTCAATGTTCAAAACATAAAACTGAAGCTTCATAATAAAACGTGACAAATACGCGTTTTAATAAATACATTTATATAAAAAAAGTATTATTTGTAAGTTTATATTCAAATAAATAAATAAATATAAATTAAATAAATATAAATGTTATTAATATATATTAATTATATGCATGAATTAATTTCTAAATTATATAATATATCAATTAAAATTATTATTAAAATATTAATAATATTTTTTTTTAAATTAATACATTTATTAAATGTTTTTTTTATATTTAAATATATTATTATTATTATTACATTTATTTTTAATTATTATTTTTAAAAAACAATGTAAGAAAGGTAAACAAAAGTGCGGTCATGAAAATATACCATACAGATGGATTTAATTAATTAGCACCTTTAGTACACACACAGACACACACACACACACACACACACACACACAGGTTTGTTTTTGTGAAAAGTGGGGACATCCCATAGGCGTAATGGTTTTTATACTGTACAAACTGTATGTGCTATTGCCCTACACCAACCCTACCCCTAAACCTACCCCTCACAGGAGACTTTGTGCTATTTCAGATTTTCAATACACTCCATTCTGTGTGATTTATAAGCGTTTTGAAAAGTGGGGACATGGGGTAACGTCCCGAAAAGTCACCTTCTCCTTGTAATACCTATGTCATACCTTTGTCATTATACAAATTTATGTCCTCATTTGTCACAAAAACATGCACACTCACTCACTCACACACACACACACAAACCTGAGAAGTGAAATTCAGATCCAGATCTAGCCATAAACCTCCAAATCTAAATTGCAGGACATTTTCATCTCAGATTCACAATCATATAAAAAAAAAATTTAAAAAGCAAACACACAATTTTATTTCCAGGTATTAGCAATGGCACAGTAAAAAATTATATATTTATAAAATTCTATATAAATGTACTCACATATATAAGTATGTGCAAAAGTACTATTATAGTATTTAGTTTGCAAAGGTTAAGTGTATAAAACGTAATTAATCTTAGCTGTTGCATTTGTTTGCTTCCAGACCAGAGACAGCTTCTAAACTGCAGACCTATAGAGCTTGCAGATTAAAATGGAGACTTTAGAGAGGACTGTTAGACTAAACCCAGAATACAACAGATACTGATTGATGTGATGAGTGTAGTATCAGTATCAGTGTCTCTGTGTCAGATTTCTGTAACAGAAGCACTGCTGTCCATTGCTCTCATAAGGACGCTGACTTTCAGCCATGCAATGTGCAAATGCGTCTACACGCTGACTGAAAACAAGCAGGTAAGATGCCTTGTGTTTGTCTTTCAAAACAGGTTTCAGTTTGTTTTCATATGAAGAGTTTGCATTTGAATGTGTGATTTGGTTGTGACCTGTCAATA